CAGCATATTGCTTTTTTCTCAATGATATATTAAATAATATAAATAGAAACATTTCTGACAATTATTGTCTAGATTTCGTTCATCTAATTATCTAGCTGTTGACCGTGGACTATATTGTAATACACCAAAACATGAAAGATTGTGTGGAAGTTGTAATGCCGGTCTTATAGAAAATGAATATCATGTTTTGAATTCCAAGACTTAAGAATTAAAATATATAAAGATATATGACTATACGTGACCAACTAAACATAAATGTGTTTACCTCATTTATGCAAATATATATACTACTATGTATGTACAATGCAAACTTGCGAAATAACTAGTCATGTTTACTGTAATGCTTTTAGTACAGATACATATATATTATACATACAGTGTGCTCTTCTGTAAATCATGTCTTTGTATTGCAATTTTTACTTATTGCTATAAAACATGTTGTTTGAATGCAATAAAATATTTGTAGTTGTAGTTGTCTCTACTGTCTTTATAACCCTCACGACCTTGATATTTACGAGCACATTATGGCAAAAAAAAAGTTGACATTTTTTCCATCTTTAGAAAGGGCAAACATGAGATTAAGAATGTTTAAATGATGGTCTTACAGAATGTTGTAACATACTTATCACCAAACTAAAGAAACACTGAATGTGAGATTATTTGTCACAAAGAAGCAAATGCTAACAAAGTAGTGTTTTGACTCCCATACAAAATACCAAATAAAACTATACTAATTAATGAATACAACAGAAGCAAAAAAAATGTTTCAGGTACTTGGCCAATGAGTAACATTTTGAAAACTATAACCGGACACCAAAAACAAAAAGCTTTTGAGAAATAGAATTTAAAGCATTTTTTGGGCATAATGGGCGTTTAATCATAGTCATATGTGAACTTCTTTGTCTATCATTTTGACTTTTGTTTTAATTGCTGTCAAGGGATCTTCCCTTTAACAGATTTTCATATTCATTTTAATATTTGATGCCGATGAAAAAGAGGCCATTAACACGCTTGGTCGTAAGATTTATCGTAAGTGAATTTTTTATCTTAAGATAAAATTTTAACTTACGAGTGACTTTGTGAAAATGACTTAAGATTTAACTTACGATTATCGTAAGTGAAAAACTTAAGATAGAATCTAAATCGTAAGATTTTTTGTGAAAATGTCTGCTGATCAATTAAAGTTGCCTACTAAACATAAGCTGTCGAATGAAAAAACTCACGCAGCCTGTTAAGAGATGAAGTTAAGTCGATCACATAAACAGTTAATCTGCAATTTTCGGCAAGCGCTTGTCTGTACATCAGGCAAATTGCCATAATTATTGATGAGTGACCATTTATGATATTTTAATGTGCCTAGTAATTTAAAATTAATGGAAATTTGATATATCGAGCGCATTAAGGAGAACTAAAATTTATTATAAGTGTAATTGATTTTGCTTCATCGAACTATGTATTGCTTACGAGGCCTTTGAAACAGAAAACTCCAAAATACTACTTATAAAAATTAGTTTATCTTGAACTAACAATTATATAAGGACGCAAAAATGGATCTTTTTGTTTTACATTTACCTGACATTAGGTTATTGATTGACTTAAATGTTCATAAATGTATTGGGAAATGCTTTTCGAAGTGGTAATGGAAACTTGTTTTACAAGACATTATGGTGTGCTGTAAAAGTGTGTTTTTATAAAGATTGTTACATACACCTGTAGAAGATAATTGAGTCTTGTGTCTTCTCAATGTATATAGAGGATATTGAATGAGTGTAAATTCAATACTGAATTTATTGAACGAGTTGAATAGTTATATTATGCGAGCCTCTGGCGAGCATAATATTATTTTATTCAACGAGTTCGATAAACTCACACGAATATAATATTCTATTTATCACATATCCAAAATAGAGAGTGTTTAAAGTAAAAAAGAATCATTTTTCAATGACGCGCCTATAGTGTAACGCTAACATTTAGCGCGTCTTAATTAATACTGGCTGTGACTAAAAAAAGGATTGGAGCACCACACTAAATACCGTATTCCGGTATATACCGGACAAGGCGCTTGAATCGTAAAATGCCAAAATCTTGCTTTTTTACGCAACGGAATGAACTTTAATAGGTCTAATTCATCTTTTCACACTGATTTATGTATGATAATGCATGAAAAATGTTAAAATCAGCGAAAAAAACGATATTTGTCTATTTTGTGATCATGATTTCTGCAAGCGTCTAGAGGTACTGCTCCAATCCTGTATTGAGCTAAATCCATTAATACTATGTTTGTATAACGCAAAAGACGTCAAGTCAAAATATATGCACGGCCGTGCAATGCCGTTTTAAGGGGTCGCAAAATCGGGACGGGTATGTGATATATAAACATAGAAGCTAATGCAAAACGCCAAACCGTACTTTTGCACTGGTTATCCAATATCTAAATCAACGTTCAGATAGAAATGTAAAATTTCATAATTAAACAAAATTGATGCAAGTTTTTTAATCTAGAAAAACAGTTTGACATTATGCCCACCCAATGGTTTATAATACTTAGTGACCATATGCAAGACAAAATAAGTTTATATTTTGCCATTTTACAATTTACTACGCATGCAAGTGACCCTAGAAATTTTTATGAAAATACTCATCGGAATTTACTTGTAACGTTCAATTTTATAAAAATAGTAAGGGTAGCCTTTTTAAGATTTAGGCAGATATATATTTTATCCTAAACATTTTCAAATATCAACTGATGGGAAATCACCATTATTATAACCAATCTTTCGAAATATAAGATCAATTTAGCACAAGTTGACAAAGAAAAAATGAGCATAATTTAAACGGAATTTAGTGATCCCATATGAGCAGCGTCACGACAAAACCAACATAATGCGTTTGCGACGAGCATGGATCCAGACCAGCCGGTGCATCCGCGCAGTCTGATCAGGATCCATGCTGTTCGCTTACAAACCCTATAACAAGTAGTGAAACTGATAGCGAACAGCATGGATCCTGATCAGACTGCGCGGATGCGCAGGCTGGTCTGGATCCATGCTGGTCGCAAACGCATTATGTTGGTTTTGTCGTGACGCGGCTCATATTTGTATAGAAAGGCATATGCCTCTTTTGATTTTCATCAGAAAAAGTTAATCAAAATGTAATACATGTATATACAAATTTAACGGGACCAGCTCAACTTAGGCACAATTAAAGAGCATCTGGGCCTTTAGGTGAAACATCTTTTCTGGTTAATAGAAGTTCATTATTTGAGCCACGTCATGACAAAACCAAACATAGTTGCGATTTTTGCGACCCTTCATGGATCCCAGACCAGCCTGCGCATCCGCGCAGTCTGATTCAGGATCCATGTTGTTCGCTAATCAGTTTTTCTACAGTTTAATAATATTTTGTTGCTATACACTGTATACATGTATGTATATACAATACAGATACAATTTAAATTTCATATGTATTTTAAACAGCAAAAGCAAACTGGTTGGGCCCAAGTTCTTAGTACAACATTAGCGGTCGGCCTTCTATACTTGTTATAGGGTTTGTAAGCGAACAGCATGGATCCTGATCAGACTGCGCGGATGCGCAGACTGGTCTGGATCCATGCTGGTCGCAAACACATATTATGTTGGTTTTGTCATGACGCGGCTCATTTCTTTTTTTCTCTAATAAAGGAAGTTTGCATTGTTATAAAGATGTGAGGTAATATGGTCTTATATATAAATGGTTATTTATACAGATACAATTTAAATTTCATATGTATTTTAAACAGCAAAAGCAAACTGGTTGGGCCCAAGTTCTTAGTACAACATTAGCGGTCGGCCTTCTATACTTGTTATAGGGTTTGTAAGCGAACAGCATGGATCCTGATCAGACTGCGCGGATGCGCAGACTGGTCTGGATCCATGCTGGTCGCATACACATATTATGTTGGTTTTGTCATGACGCGGCTCATTTCTTTTTTTCTCTAATAAAGGAAGTTTGCATTGTTATAAAGATGTGAGGTAATATGGTCTTATATATAAATGGTTATTTGCAATATTACCCTCGTCTTACGGCTCGGGTTATATATACAAACAGCCGTTTATATAGGGCTATATAACCTGTCTAAAAGCTACAGTATTTAAATGCAAGGGAGGTAACTTAGAAAAACTTCAGAATGTATTAATCAACAGTTATCTTTCCCGTGTATGTAACCACGGATTTATTCCGTGATGTAACTAAGAGATATTAATATGCCCATTAGTCCCAGGGCCAGCCAAATGTCAATATGTGTCAACATTACTTTTTAACATTATTACTTACAATCTTCTCATCCGTGTTGTAGCTTCACAAGAAACAACCGCCGAGCCTGGATGTCTCTGATATGGAATTTTTAAATCATAACCATACTGTAATACTGGACTTTCTCATGATTTTTTCGTCTTGGTACTGGTAACGATAAGAAGGAAGTGGGGTTATGGTGGGAGTCCTTTCATTTTGAAAATATTTGCAAAGTTTATTTTAATTATGCAGCAGGGGTCCCCCTTTTTACAGTGTACTGTATGTATAGGGATTTCTACAGTACCCGCAAGATACGGAAATACTGTTAGTCTACTGATAAGAAAGCCCTGTCTGGCCTGCTAATTCCGTAAACTATCAATAGGTGTAATTACAAAATAATTACAATAATTACAATATAAATAATGATAACACAAACCTAAATATTAATAATTGAAAAGTGGGCCGAGTTGACCCGTGCCGAGTTGGAATAGGGCCGAGCTGACTCGGGGGCCGAGTACGTTTTAGGGCCGAGCTGACCCGGATTCTACTACAGTACTTAACTCTACTGCTCTGCTATTTTATCTGGTAAAGATTTAAATTGAAGCTACTGTACAGTATAAATAACATTATCTTATTAGTGGTGTTAACCTAGAAACTTTTTATTCGGACGTATTCCTGACCTAATTTAATCGTTAAATTGGGAATTTCCCCTAGACTTCAATTTCCCGCATGATGACGTAGCGTCTGATTCATATTACCCATAAGTCATTTCGAAAGAAAATGTCTACCATGGACAGTGGGGACATAAATGACTAAAGAAGAAGAATCCGCTTCCATCTTGGTAAGACGAGTTTTTGTCTGTTAATTTTATCTTGTGCTGCAAATACTACCAATATTAACGTAAACGTTCGTCGGTTTTTAACTGTAATAATATATTGATTTAACCAAATTTTTGCAGTTTGTTTACGTGAAGTGCTGTGGGATTTTGCTCCCGCCATTGTGCCCAATTAGTCATAATAAACCAGAAATTTTCGATGAATTTTGGTCTTTAGGTTGCGTTTACGAGTATGAGCTATAGATGCCTGTAGTCAGCATGAACGAAACTTCTTGGGACGATAGCCGGGCAATGCTGTCACATGGCAGCCTCGCCAACATGCGACAAAGTAACCACATTTCGAAGGATGATGCTGGAGTAAGCTACTTCTTTCAAAGACCCCAAGAATCCAACGATCCTAGCAACTATTCGAATAAGAAATGGGCAGTGGGTGATGACAGTGTTCTTGACCAGGTAAATAGAGAGATTTTCATCATACCCGTGGTAATTGCTGCAAATGTTAATGCAGCATGTTATGGAAAAATGTTAACCCAGATTTACCAAGTGCAGAATAAAAACTGACCATGACCTTGCTATTAATTCTCTTTGTTTGGGTGCAAAATCATGATAGAAACACTGACATGTCGTGCTGACATTGCATTTAACTACATTTTTGTTCAATATTGTAGGCAAGCATCGTATTGCATTTTTTAAAATGTAAAATATATGAATTTATTAAATGTAAACAACTTGAAATAAAGGAAGCTCAATTTTGAACTATAATTTGTTTATGAAATTCAAAAAAACTATAATTCAAGCTCTTTGAAGATAAAAATTAAATTTGATTATTGACAAATTTTGAAATCGGTTTCAGTGCAGCTGAACAAGCTATATCCTGGAATAGGCCTTTTGGTCTAAACCAGGAGTATATTATATATAAGGTTCATACCGTTTTCTTAATGTATTTTTTCTGAAATATATACAGACGTCTTATCCAGGAGATTGCCAATAATAATCAAATCTGTAGTGGATTGGTCGAGGCCTCGCTCTGATTACATTAATGACAAAATAACTACAGCAGGGGTTTTTTTTACTAACAAATTGACACCGATAGTCGGCGTCTTCCCCTCGGTAAATAGCCAAGTTTTTTCCCCCAAAAAATTCTATTTTCCTTTAAACTGGATCAGATTTAATAATTACATGGTTTAAAATATTATTTTTCTTCATTTTATGCAGGATAAACCACCAATTGTTGTCCAAAATAACCAAAAACATTGCAGGAAACTGCAAGTACTGTCTCAACATGGAGGCAGCCATTTTTTTTTCTTGGCTATATCCCGTACTGAACGGTACTATTTCTGGAAATCAGTTGCTATCAAAATATTGTCATTTTCTAGGTTATTTTTTGTAAAGTAATATATTTTGTACTTCTTATTATGAAAATGACTTATATGGAGCTAAAGTGTGTCACAAATACACTATTATACCTATACTGTATTAACTTTCATATAAAAATAGAAGTATAAAAACCATTCACCACCATACATATTAAGAAAATATGTTATACTGCAAAGAATATTTTGCATGATGATAAAGTTTTTAAGGGGAAAAAGATATAGTTGTAACTCTCTACTATGTAGTTAAGTATATAGTATAAATAACGTCATAATAAAGTTTCCCCAAATTGACTTTTTTCGTATATTTTTTCCCCTCCCTACCAGCGTCCAGCGTCTTCCCCTTTTCCTAAAAAAAACCCCTGTACAGTATTAAGTTTAGTTCTATTTTATGTGATACTTCAGTGAAGTGACAGCGATTAACTAGGGCATTATAATTTTTTTACTGTTAATTGAAGTAGACATGATTGTTTTCATTTGTTAACTTAACATAAAATTAAGTCTGTCAAACGAGATAGTTGCACACACTGTACGTTCCCTGTTTAATGTTGTTTCGTGATAAGAAATTGAATATAAATGTATTTATTGATCAGCAACTGGTTTGGTTTTTCAGGGTAGAGGTATGACTGTACAAGAGTTGGAGAGGAATATGCACACCATGTCTCTTGAACGAGAGGTAGACAATGTTTTTAACTTATCCGATAATCATAATGGGCATTTGAAATCTAGTGATTTTAGTTTCTGAGTAGTAAGGTGATTGACAATTTTTCATGGGCTAATGATAAAAAATTAGTGATAGACTGCCTCATATTTTACTTGTGGTGGGACAGCAATTCTAGTAAATGGCTAGTGGCTACTGCTGAATTTGCGAGTGGGCCATCATTAAAAACTTGTTTGTTTTCTGCACTTCTACACATGATTTCTTCTGCATATGTTTTGGGTGAGTTTTCAAAAATTCAAGACTAGATATTTAATAAGTCAAAATTATTGATCTTTTCAAATGTGTGTTGATTATTGCATGATAGAAAAAGGTCTATGATACATCAACAGGCCTCGGAAGAATTTATCTAGGGTCACTGGCCCTGTAGGGCGAGTTTGATTAACTTTTTACTTGCCCGACCCAAACTTTCCTTGCAAAATTTAATGCGAGCAGGAGAGTGTATTTATCGAGGCCTGATCAATCTCCTTTCAGTCAACGACAGCTCTAATAAATATTACAGTAAATTATTTTAAAGTCAAAGTGTACAAACAACAAACCAGAATTATAAATATAGTATTACATCGTAATATTATGAGCACATAGATCTGTAATATGGAATGCCATATATGAAAGGAATGGACTTTTAATTCAGTGTCAATTTAGTTATCAGTAAGTTGGTATGTCCATTTCAGCAAAGTAAGAAATTGGGCTGGGATATGGGAGGTGGCGATGTTAGTAAACAGGACCAGAACCAAGCCATGTTCCAGAATAACCCATGGAACAGGCCACGTGATGATGGTGGCTGGAACCAGGCACCACAATCTGGTGAGTATTCTGAATGCTGTGTACTTTTTCTATAGGCTTTTTTTCCCCCCATATATAATAACAGTAATTTTTCATCTTTTATAAAAGACCTCTTAACAGAAATTTTCTTTAAAATCATACAATTTTCCCAAAAATCTAAACTTACACCAACTTTTTTACTTACCAAATTAGCAAGTATATTAGCAAGTTAATAAGCAATTTTAGGTTAATTTTTCCGAAATCGAGCGGCTATGGCCTGTTCCAATAAAGTGAGTAAAACCACTGAGTTATTACTGGTAAATCGAGTCAAAATGTGTTACTTTTTCTTAATTGAGAAGCATTTAATTACCCAGTAGTAAGTTTGCATAATTTTGTTGATTTTCTTTGGAAAAAGAATTTTCATTGAAAAGGGAATCCTTTGAAATTACTTTTACAAGCAAAGATGAGTATAAAAACTATAAGCATAAGCTAATCTTTTATGAATCACATTTTTCAGAAGTTTCTAGGAGTTAATATTAAGTATATATATAAAATTCCAAAACTTATACTTACTGAGATTTTTTATTTTTCCCTAGTCAAATGTGGCCCGACTTTTGCCTTTTTACTTTTGTTTTGCTTTAATGTAGATTTTACACTTTGTCTTTATGTATACTTAACACTAAAAATTATCAAACTTAGTATTTATTCAAAGTACTCTGCTTTTATAGTGTTTTTTTGTTTTTTTCATGCAATGAAAAAGACTGAAAAAAAACCAAAAAACACTGCCAGCTTAACATGTGCGATTATCTGGGCTGGATGTTTATAATACAATTATGTATATTAGTCTGTTAATAGTGACAGGCCAGTGTTTTAAACGTACCTGCTCAGAATTGCTAGAAATTATTATTTCTAGGGCTGTCATTGAATATTGTGATATTGATATATCATCGATATTTATCATCCGATACAATATCGATACACACTTTCACATATAGATACAAGCTAAAAATAATATGTCTGTTAGATCATATACCTCTCTATCTTGGCTTTTAAGAGAAGTCACTTTTTTCTAGTTTTCTTGGCTAACTTGAACTTTAAACTCTTGTTTTCAAATGTCAGTGACAAGAAGAACAAAAAACAAAACTTTCTGTTAGTATGTAGTATTTCATTTTGTAATGTGTAATACAAGCATGCATAAGACCATGATCCCAAATTATAACACATATATAAATGTTTTTCAATGTATTCTACTGTGAAAGTTGATATATGGATGTATCGTCGATGTTTGTCTCTTGATATATCAATACAAAATTTTCCAATAATGACAGCCCTAGAAATTTCTATCGTAAATAATTGCTAAAAATGTATATCATGGCTTTTTTTCTCAATTATTTCTTAATTGGCTCATGAAAATTGTTTTAATTTTGTATCTTAAAGGAGATTATGAATCGGATTGAAGCAGCTCTTTGTTTAAATTTATAATATTTTTCTAGCAGTAATTTTATTCTTGCAATCCGATAAAAACGTTTCTAATTTATTGCTTCCTGAGCAACATTTATAAGCATTTGATGTACCTCAGGAAGTAATGTTGGAAACGCAAGGCGAATTTAACAGATTGCTCAAACTAAATAGTTTGAGGAGTTGTTGCTGGGAAATACCTTAATAGGATAAAAATAGCTTGATTTACAGCTTGTGTAACTGTGTGGGTCATTGTATATGTAAAAATATTATTGTCAGTTGATTATCTTGCTCTGCTCAATACTTCATTCACTTTCTGTTTATATTCTGCTTTGCACCCTGTTGTTATATTGTAGTGTGTGTGTGTAGAAGTCATTTAGCTTATTTTTTCTCATTATTAAAAAGTAAAACACCCAAAATGAGATCTTAAAGAACTGTTGTGTTGCCTTGACTTTTCAAAGTTTTGAGTAATAATTGCAAGTAGAAAATATCTGAGGTGTGTCTGTGGCTAAAAGGTTAAAGTTGTTTATTTCAAACCACTTAGCCATCATCACTGTGGGTTCGAATCCCAACAGGGACTTTGGATTCTTTCATGTGGGGAAGCTATCCAACTAGTTAACGAAAAGTCGGTTCTACTCTAGTGACTGTTTGTGCCTGAAGA